GTTGTTTCAGAACAACTTCAGTGTAGTATGACATGCTTTCTAGAGATTCTTAAAAGAAACGTCCAAATTTCTATTACTCTCTTAAGTAGGAGATGTTAATGTTTCATTTATCTGCAGGTCTAACTCCCTAGCCAATCCTATCCCAAGAGTGCCATGTCTCTCTCCTGCTACCACTCCTACCAGCTCAGGTGACATATTAGGACTGCAAATGAGAAGAGTTTCCCTGTGCAGTGCTCTCCAGCTTCTGCAGCTGTGACAAAGGAACACACTGACTGGCTGGACAGTGGCCAACTCAGTGTATCTGCCTGGACTTGTATCAATTGAAAATCTGCAAGTTGGGAACCACTAGTATAAAGCAAGACTACTTAAAATATAGTTCACAGAATGTAACACAGATTTTTTTCAGCCATTTTGGAAGTTAGGACTGGGTATCTGTCTTTGAGTATCTGTCTTGCCCTGTATTCTTGAAGCACAGGAGCATGGCCCTCACTTAAGAGCAACGGAAAGGTGACCTTGTGCAACTGGAGCAAATGCCACAGAGCCACAACCAACACGTCCTGGGAGAGGCACATCCATACAGCAGAGCTCACTGCAGTGACACAGCCTGGAAATCTCAAGTGCATACAGCTCAGAACATGCTGCAGAATGTGCTGCTTGAAGGAGAAGGATGACGATAAAAGGAGGGGGCATAAGACACCAGAACAGGCCAAAGACATTTTTAAGGTGTGGTACTTGGAGTACCCTCCTTCTCCTTGTGTGTGGAATGGTATGACTCTCCCTCTGTAACACTCTTAAGCCATCAAGATATTTTAACTTAATCATGACACCATCATAAATATGTAAGAAATTATTGATCTAAAGGGTCTCCAAGCCTGATGTTTTAGAGTAAACAGGCAAAATTCTATACCATCATGTACCTGACTGAAGCCTGAACTAAAACCCGTAGATTAATCAAAATGTTTGGAAACAAAATAATAAAAAAAACTCATGGACTATATTAATTTTTTTTTGTATTTTCAGGTTTAGAAGATTCAGAACTTCAACCAGTCTAAGCTGCTTTCAAAGAAGGAAACGAAGATGTATCTCTGCCTAAAGATCACTACAGCTAGTTATTTTTATCGGAAGATAAGCTGCTTTTATTTTAAGGTATCTTCACGTTTTGTAAGCCAGTAAGCAGTCTCTCTGAACATGCCCTGGAACCATCCGTCACAAATCCTGCCCGTTTCTACACTCACTTTACACCAAAAAGCCACTGCAATAAGAGCAGTTTCACAACGCACACACCAGAGCTTAGTAAAGGCACTTCAGATTTAGTCTGTAGTCAAACCCGTAAGATACGAAAAGCTGCCTGCAGTGACACACAACGTGCTTCAAAGGCCACCGATAACGGAATCACCGTTCCTGCGCGGCTCCCGGCCGGGCACACACGGGCCGAGCAGCAGAACCC